GGCCTGCACCAAGCGACCAAGCCAGGACCGGCCACATTTCTAGTCTGAGTCACTGGAATCCCACAGGAAGTAGTCATGGCAGTAGTCGGGATAGTCGACTTCCCCCCGCAGCAGAGCGAAAGTGAGAGCCCACTGGAACAAGCACGACTCATCGTCCTCCTCGGAGCTCTCAGAGGGAGAAGGGTTGAATGCCTGCCAGGGGACGACACATTCGAGGACTCTGCCGGGGAAGATGAGAACCGACGCCCCCTGCACGGCGCAGCTGCAATGGTGGGAGGGCCTGTTCACCAGCCCGGACGAAGGGAGCCCCGAATGGCACTAACAGGAAGAACTAAGGAGCAAGATCTGAGCACTCCTATCAACGCCCCCTCCCCTGGAAAGAGGCTGCAGATTCCTCAGGGACACGCAGCAAGTTGCTTAGAGCGGAGGACTGGCCTCCACCGAGTCACAGCAGGATCTGTGACATCATCCCTGATCTAGGGCCCGATCCAGCCGAGTACTGAGGCACATGCTTCAGTCTGAGAAGGTGGGAGTCCCACTGATGGAGGCGGAAGCAGTCAGGTGCTGGAAGATGGCTACGTGCCTCGGTATCTTGCTGAATCAGGGCCCCAGAACAGACCCTGGGGTTCTTGGTAGCGCGGATTGTTGGGTGTTTTTAAAAGCAAACTAGAATGCACGGCCAGGCCGGTGGGATTCTGTCCGTCTCCCGCATGCTGACTAGTGCCAAAGCTACTGATGGGGTATTCAACTGGAGAGAGATTCCAGCTGCTTTGCTTACCACCGGGCTTCTCCTGCGTGGAGCTCTCTGTCGAGGGGGCTGCCTGCCGGCCGGCCGCTCATGGAGATAGATGCACTCAGATTTAAAGGGACAGCGGCCACGGCCACTTGCAAAGAACTTGCATCTGATTTTCCTGAGAGGGCGAGAGGAACTGGACTCAACTCTGATGGAAGTGCAGGGGGTTACTTCTTCCTGCAGTGACATGCCAGCAAGGCACCCCCTCACCCTTCTAGCAAAAGCCCTCTCAGTAGGGAAGTGCTTTGCAGAGTGCAGGGCAAGCTCCCACCCAGCAAGCAGAGGAGCCAGCCACCTACCCAGTCCGCGCCTTGAAGGTTTCGATCAGCTTCTCCTTTTCGTCCGCATCAGAGACCCAGAATTTGTGGGGGATGAAGTAGCTGGATGTGACCCGGCACTCAGGGCAGGCCCTGTGGGCAGACACACCATGCGTGGGGGTCACTTTCAGCCAACAGGCAGGAAGGAGAGGGTCAGGCCCCAGTAGATAACGCTGCCACTTCCTTCTACACCCCCGGCACTGGTCTGTGCATTGCCCTGCGTGCCTTCCGAACAGACACTGCAACGGGGAGGGGCCGAGATAAAGGGACTTCCACCAGCCGCAGCTCTAAAGAAGGGTCGTCACTAGGGTCTCCTGCCACATGACCTGCCCTGAAAGATCCTCTCCCCATCTGTGCAGCTGCCAAGCCCCACTTGCAAGGGAAACAGGTCACCTGGTGCTGCAGGCTTGGTCCTATCTGCCCACCTAGCATAGTCGGGGACAAGACTCCAACTCCCAACCCTACATCCTGGCAGGAGCCCAGGCTGCTCCCCTTGTGCTACCCCAGACCTGAATATTGGGGCGGGGCGGGGCTGCTGGAGCCTATTTAACACTGTTGAGGTGGCTCTGCAGTTCCTTCTCCCTGGCCGGGGGCTAGGCAGCAGGGCCCAAGCTACCAGCCCTGGCTCCCGACCGTACGCACTTGATCACCGTGTTCTGGAACTCCCGGGTCTTCCGCCACTTGCGGATGCAGCCAATGCAGTAGGCATGGCAGCAGTTGGGCAGGATGCCAAACATGCGCTCCTCGGGCAAGGACTTTTCATAGACCTTGTCCATGCAGATGCCGCACACCACGTCCTCGCTTCTCAGCTCCGCCCCCGAAGCAGCAGCTGCTCCCAGCCCGCCAGAAGCCTGCACAGAGCAATACAGCTGGCTAGCACTCAGACACGCCCCTGCCCCCGTTCCTTCCATAGAGCTCTGCTGCCTCATCTTCCCATGCCGGGCTCCTCAGTAAAACCCTGTGCTCGATGCTGGCTGAGCATCCCCCTGCTTTGGAGGGGGCAACGGAAGAACCAGCCACCGGCAGCCCTTGGGGAAAGAGGAGGACCCCTGCCGGGCAGCAAAGAGGCCCATTGACAGGTGAGTGGGAAGATCACGCTGGCTTCCCCAGGAAGAATTGCTCTCAGCCTTAGAGGTGTCCAGGGGGAGGACTCAGCAGAAGGTGGTCCTAGGGCACTAGCCTATTAGATCTCTCTATTAGACCAATGCTCTGCCCCAGCCTAGGGATGTTAACTACTCGACTAGTAAATGAATCGTTAGTTGATAGGCCCTCTGAAATGGAGGGGCCTCTTGTACATGGCAAAGGAGGAATGCGGAACTCAGCGTGCAGCCCCGGGCCGCCAGGAAGTCCTGCTGACTCTGGGCTGCACGCTGGAGTGCCAGCTCTGAAAAGTGCAAGAGTCCCCAGGGGGTTCCTGTGCATTTCAAAGCAAGCAGGGCCCGCATGGACTCCCCAGCTGATCCCGGGCTCTGTGCGGGATTTCCCACATGGCGGCGTTTCGAAGGGGCAGCGCCACACAGCTGAGCCTGGGATCAGATGTGGGGCACTGCCGCTTTGAAGTACTCCCTCCCCGCCCCCCTTTGCTGCCTCTGATACAGGCAGCGGGGGAAGGGGGGGAAGGAAATCAACTAGTGACTCGCATTTGCTTGTCAGATAGTTGACTAGTCCTTAACATCCTAACCCCAGATCCCTGGGAGACCTTGGGGCAAGGCACTTAGCCTCTGTCTCAGTTCTCTAGGCGCACAGTGGGAACACAGGGGCCCATAGGATAAATGCATTAAGGATGGAGGGGGCTCACCCAGCCCCCATGGTGCTGGGGGTCAGGTAAGCTCAGACACTGTAAAAACATCCCATTCAGGATACGGGCCCACCCACCTCCAGGGCTTGAGGTGCTGGGGCAATCGCCTTGTTAGATGCTTCCTTGGGTTCCAGGGACGTTCTTTGCAATCCCAGATCCTGTGGTCGGGAACCTGACCAGCAACACAACAGTTTGGGTGAGATGCATTCCCTGGGCACCCATGCGCCTCCTCCCCCCAAATATACAGGGCAGAGGACCTTCGAAAGCATCACAGCCGTGGGGCTGGGCCCTAATCTGTATATCACCTCTCCTGGGGGACCCACCAAGAGCTGCCTGAGCAAGTACGCAAGGGGCATTGACCAGAAACACCCGCAGCCCATGCCAGGACCAGGTCTGTACATCATGCCCACCTGGCTAGTTCTACCCACACTCCTGTCAGAGGTAACATACCAGCAGCACTTACCAGATCCAGGCTGGGCCTGCCTGGGGACAAGCTCTCTGCTCAAAGCCCTGTTCGGGGGATTCGTGAGGACAGGAACAGTCCCTTTATCTTCCTCTTCCTCCTCAAACTCTGTGCTCAGCTGCCTGAAATTCAGTTGCAGCTGCCTCATGCTGGGGACAGAAGGCTCCGAGCCACGCCTGGCACCTCCCCGGCTCCCAGCTGCTGCTTCTGGCCGGACAGACGGCTCCGAACCCCGGCGGCTCAGGGACAAGGCTGGCTGTGAGCCGCACCTGCTCCAAGCAGGGGCCGGAGATTCTTGGATGTGCTGGTAGCTGGAAGAGTCAAAGGTTCCAGGCTGCATAGAAAGGCCCCGGGGTGAGCTCCATTCCTATTGGTTAGGTCGCTGGATTGCTCATCTTCTCCACTGTAGCCATTATAGGGAGATTCAGAGCAGCCTATAGAATTTACAAGCCTCTTCCATTCAAGTTTGTGGCAGTGAGGTCTCAAGGCCCTCCACTGCTTTGGAAATTGCCAGCTGCCTCTCCTGCCACAGCCCTGGTGCAGACGCCGCACTTGCCAACAGAAGGAGTTTTGTCGTGGGTGTAGGCACATCACCTCCTTGAGCCACATTAGCTCTCATTTGGGGGGGTATTATCGGCATGACTCCTGCACCCCTGCCCAACATAGCCATGCTGGGATAGCTCTGAAGTGACTCAACCTAGGATTTCCAGTGGTCAAACAAGCTAGTGTCTCCGGCTCACTACACCAGCATGCCGCTCTTGGCCACGACCGTGACCATGTCTATGCCAGCAGGTATGATCCCGTATTCCTCTGCCCATTCAGCTCCCTGGGGAAGCCTAAAGAGGTCTCAGGGGATTTCCCCCTCCACCTCCACCCTGCTGGGGAACTATGGTTTCCATTTTAGGCTAGGCTCTAGAGCAGTGGTCCCCAACGCGGTGCCCGCGGGCGTCATGGCGCCCACCAGGGCATTTATGTGCCCCCCAAACGCCCAACGCCTGCGCGGCCCCGCCCCCAGACGCCCGGCAGCCCCTAAAGTTTGGGGACAACTGCTCTAGAGAGAGTCCTCCCCATTGCATTAAACATTGGTTCCCAAAGTGGGTCCCCGAGCATAGCAATCCACCATGGATTATGGGCAGGGCTGGAACCACAGAGGAGGCTATTTTGGCATCCTCACACAGCAGAAGAGGGGACACTGGCAGGGGCATTGACGTAGTCCCAGGGCATTTGGGAGCAAGCAGTGCAGGATACTTCAGGAGTCCTCTGGTGTCTTATTGAGAAAAAGAGAATTATGAACCACTGCCCTAGACCCTGAGTTAAAGGAGCAGGTTTCAGTCTAGGGGACTTTTAAGAGCCCATCAACTTGGTCTCTAACCTAGATCTGTGACATCACAGGCAATGGCCTTACCTGCAGCGGTCTCCGTAGCCACAGAACCCATTCTGGAAATACCTGCAGATCTGGGCGGACTTCCGGTCGTGGGCGAAACGGCAATTCTGACCCCATCTGCAGGCTCCACGGGCAAAGTTTCTACAGGGAGAACAGAAGCCAAATTGACCCGCTGGCCGCACCACCACACAAACATCTCACTGGACTCAGCTCCACTAGCCCGCCCTGCTCCTCCTCACACGTCCTCACTTCCCAGAGGAGCTCAGCACCTTCCCCCGCAAGATTCCCTGCTCTCAAACCTGATGTGGGTGCTCAACCCCCGTAGGCTTGAATGTGTCAGAGCCACTGGGCAGGGCAGAGCAGTCAGAGTCCAGAAAGTCACCGTCCACCCCACACCGACTAACCAGGGAGGCTGCAAGCCCGCCCTGCTCCTCCTCACACGTCCTCACTTCCCAGAGGAGCTCAGCACCTTCCCCCGCAAGATTCCCTGCTCTCAAACCTGATGTGGGTGCTCAACCCCCGTAGGCTTGAATGTGTCAGAGCCACTGGGCAGGGCAGAGCAGTCAGAGTCCAGAAAGTCACCGTCCACCCCACACCGACTAACCAGGGAGGCTGCAGAAACTAGAGTTTCCCAGCAGGAACCATATTGTTCACAAGATTCACTCTGTAGCTAGCAAAACCTACCCCCACTACAAGGCCGGCCACGCCTCCTGCCTGCTGCTTCTGTCTGCCTAGACCTGAGGTGTTCCCTGCAGGAAGCAGTATGTTTGGGCCAGCTCTCGGAGAACGAGACAGCCTTTATTTCAGCCTTGTGAGACGCCCAGACACTCAAGTGATGGCATCAGACACCAGGTTTCTCCCGCCATGGGGGAGCTCCCCTGGGCTCCTGTGAACGCCCCAGCCTCAGGGCCTGCTGTGCAGTCCAGGGGCACCGAGGAGAAGCCCCCGGATCTGGGCCCGGCAGAGGTCAGGAAGCAGAAACCGCACCGCTGCCATGCAGAAGGCTGCGAGGTGAAGGCCAGCGGCTCAGCTCAGTGGTGCTGGAGA